ATAGAAACACTAAATTCTTCCATGCTCAAGTTAATGGGAGAAGGAAGAGACTGAAATTATCAAGGATCTAGAATAGCCTTGGTAACTGGATTGAAGAAGATCACTTAATAGCAGAAGAAGCAGTAAAGTTCTACAAGGATCAATTTACAGAGAGTGCAGTTCCAAATGATTTTGATATTCTAAATCATGTACCTTCAATAGTAGATAGTGATCAACATGAAAGACTGATGGCTTTGCCTTCCAATGAAGAAGTGAAGAGAGCAATTATGGGGTTGAATGGGGACTCAGCTGGTGGACCGGATGGATTCACTGGAGCCTTTTACCAAACATGCTGGGAAATTATTGAAGAAGATGTAGTCCGCATGGTCAAGGCTTTCTTTTGCGGTTAGCAGTTGCCAAAGAGTGTGACAAACACAAACCTGGTTTTATTACCAAAGAAAAAAGAAGTTACGACCTTTGCGGACATGAGACCAATCGGTCTTAGCAACTTTGCTAACAAGATTTTCTCTAGGATTATTCATGAGAGGTTGGTTGAATTATTACCAAACATAATCTCAGAGGAACATGCAGGTTTTGTGAAGCGCAGAAGCATAGTTGAGAACGTGCTTCTAACTCAAGAAATCATTAAGGATATCAGGTTGAGAACAAAAGCAGGTCCAAACGTTGTGATTAAGCTTCATATGGAAAAAGCTTACGATAGGCTTTCATGGCTATTCCTGACCAAAATACTAAGGAAAATGGGATTTCCTGAAGCTTTTATTGGCTTGATCTTTGATTTGATTGCGAACAATTGGTACTCTATTCTTATAAATGGTCAGCCTAATGGATTCTTCAAATCATCGAGGGGAGTTAAATAGGGTAACCCTGTGTCACCAACTCTATTCATTCTAGAAGCAGAAGCACTTTCTCGGGGATTGAATTCACTACACACTAACCAGTATTTTTGTGGATTTGGAATGCCAAAATGGAGCCCAAAAATAAATCATCTATCATACGCTGATGATACGATTGTTTTCTGCTCATCTGATGAAACTTCATTGAGACTTGTCATGGAGGTTTTGCAAGCTTATGAATCATCATCTGGTCAACTGGTGAACAAAGCCAAATCAGCCATATACCTGCATCATTTAACAGATAATGAGGTGTTTAACAAGGTGGAAAGGATTACAGGCATAAGAATACAAGGTTTCCCTATGACCTATCTCGGATGTCCTATTTTTTATACAAGAAGAAGGGGAGACTATTACCAGGGATTAATCACCAAGGTTATGGACAAACTGCAGTCATGGAAAGGCAAATTCCTATATGTAGGAGGCAGAGCGGTTTTAATCGCAAATGTCCTGCAGAGTATCCCAATTCATATGTTGTCAGCAGTTAATCCACCAAGTTATGTGATCAACAAATTACATAGCATTTTTGCCAAGTTTTTCTGGAGCAGCAATGTGGGAGGCAGCACTAGACATTGGGCGTCTTGGACTAACCTTTGTATGCCTTATGAGGAGGGAGGCATAGGTTTCAGGTCCCTACATGATGTATCCAAGGCACTATTCTGCAAATTGTGGTGGAATTTCAGGACAAAGCCCAGTTTGTGGAGTGTATTTATTAGTCAAAAGTACTGCAAGAAACTAAATGCAGTAATTGTACCTTGGAAGGGTGGATCCCACGCATGGAGAAAAATGCTAGAATGTAGGGACTTGATTGAGCATCAAATCTACTGGAAACTGAGAATGGGATCAACTCTATTCTGGTTCGACAATTGGACTAAGATGGGAGCCTTATATTTTCAAGTACCTGCAGACTTTGGTATCGATGAGGATATTCATAATGTCAATGATATGGTTGAAAATGGTATGTGAAATGTGGATAAAATGTTTAAGAGCCTACCTGAAGATTTGGCACACCACATTGTGCAGAATATTAGACCAGCAACTGAAAGTTCACAGTTAGATACTCCTTTCTGGATGCTTGAAATAAGGGGACATTTTACAGTAAAGTCTGCATGGGATTACGTGCGAAGAAGAGCCAACCCAAGATTAGCTTACAAGATGATATGGGTAAAAGGTTTACCTTTCAAGATATCCTTCTTCCTGTGGAAGGTTTGGAAAGCCAAACTGCCACTTGATGATTTCTTGCGTAAACTAGGATACTCAATGCCATCTAAATGTTGGTGCTGTGCTGATCCTAAGGAGGAGTCATTACTACATTTGTTCTTCACATCCAATGCAGCTAAAAGTGTTTGGACTTACTTCCTGAGGAGAGCAAGAATTGCATTAGATGGGTAGTCATTACATCAAGCAATTACAAAGTGTTGGACAACACCAGTTGCACCTAGATTGAAGCCAATATTACAAGCTTTACTTGCATGCATTGTATGGGAACTTTGAAAGAGAAGAAACAATTTGAAATATGGAGAAGCAGTGTCAGTGAGCAGAGTTATTTACCAGGTGTCGTCTACTGTGCAAGCACTTGTCCAACTGAAAAAGCCTGGACTACGTGTGCCTCAGAAGTGGCTGGACTTACTGAAAATGATGGATCAATACACACCTCGACTAAAATATGATAAAGTTTTACGGGAATTTCCTTCAAGAGGATGGATCAAAGTGAATACGGATGGAGCATGTAGAGGGAACCCAGAGAGGAGTTCAACTGGTTTCTGCATAAGGGATGAGGTAGGTGATTTGATATATGCAGAAGGAAGGGAGATTTCTGAAGGAACCAACAATGAATCAGAAGCGGTAGCTATTGTGGAGGCATTGAAGATGTGCAAAAATCTTAATTATTTCCAGATATGGCTGCAGAGAGATTCTATGCTATTAAAGAACATTATAGAGGAATCATGGAAGCCTCCTTGGTATATTACTGAACATGTAGAGGAGATTTTAAGATTGAAGGAACAAAGTATCATCAAGGTCACACACATATTCAGAGAAGGGAATACATTAGCAGACCACCTTGCCAATTATGCTCTAGATGAAGGAAATACTGAATGCCATGGTTTCTGGGATATGGACTCAAAAGGAAGGAGGATTATTAACGAAGATAAGATGCAATGTCCTTACATAAGAGTGAAGGTTGCAAGGAATTAGGAGGAAAAGAGGATTCTTTTTGTTATCAGACTCGAATCATTCTTGAGGAGAGTTTGGATAGCAATTTTTCGGCTAACTTTGTTCACTTCTTTGCAGGTAATTCATCGAAGCTAAAGCCTAATCTTATAGTTGAATCTCAAGTGGTGGTATTAATGCATTGCATTCAATCCACTTGGAGGACATTAAAGGTGGGCTTTGGCACTTTTACAATGTTCATTTCATGGCTGTCATCCACATCAAAGGGAAGTATTGAAATAGCATGGGAAAACAAGATGGGCACGTGAAGTTCTGGACAGTAACATATGCCAAATCGTTTGGATTTTGCACCAGCACGCTAGGGAATTTGTAGGAAATGCAGTTCTTTAATTGTTTATTGCTGGAACATGAATGGCACTCGACATGATCTGGTCAAGGGAATGGAAAAAGAATTAAGCATGCGTTTTGGAAACAAAATACAAATCAGCTTTACGACAAAAGCTGTAAGCTCACATTATGGACGCTGCAAACATCCGACTAATTTTAATAAATCGAACTAAGCATTGTGCGCTGTAGTGATTTCGAGAAACCCTTTCATGTGTGCACATGGTTAATGTGCAAAGCGTGGAAGACAAAACATGGTGTCGAACAAAAGTATCACATGGGAAAGTGTAATACACATGGAAATCTGTGGTGGTACTTTGGGATACAATTCGTATGCTTCAGCTGTAAGTGGAGGCCACGTGATTTTGGATTCTACAATAAAAGACTATCTCTATGGATTATATAACTAGTCTGGGCAGCGCAATCGAGAATGTAAGGAATCAAAAGATCAGCGCACGCGTGCAGTTGCCTGTTCAAAGAATCTTGATGCATGCATGGATGGTGGCAGCTGTCACAACCAAAGCAGCTGAGGCGTGCTATTTTGGGAGTACATTTTAAATCCCAACAATGAGGCACGCCTGGTTTCACATGGAAATGCACGCTATAAATGTAATGCATGCTAGACATGAATGCTTTGACATTAGAGCATGCACTACATTTGAACAATTCGAGAAATGCTGGATTACAGCATGTGCGAGCACAGGGATGTTCCAGCTCTGTGTTCGACAAAGGCAGTAATTAAATAATGGCTAGTGATTAAACAATGGCCAGTGCTCTCATCTTCCGCGCAACAACAACAAAGGGATCGAACGAAAAGAGTATACACGTGGGAATACACTGCTCCCATTAAGCAATAGCGACAGAAGAGTCAGCGCACTCGTGCAATTTTCTAGGAGGCACCACTAGGTTGACATTACATGTTGTCTGCAGATAAAGCGTGGCTAATGAATTTCAACTATCTTAAGCTGGAAGAACAGATTGGATGCATGAATAATGCAGCAGCACCAATAGAGGAATGGACTGGACATTGCAATCGATAAGCCACATAGAAAAAAGTTATGTATGCAAAAAGCATGACCTAAATTGCAACTGGATAGAAGAAAATGCGAAGGAGAAAGGCGTATACTAATGCATGAATTGTATGGGCTGGCTTTTAATTATACAAATTTTATTAGACTTTGTGTGATATCAACTTTGAGTACATTACTCAACTTTGATAATAGGTCTTATGTAGTTTACAAAATTTATTTCGTGCACTTTTTAAGATTTCATGACACTTTGTTTCTCCTTTTATATATTAATAAAAACTAACCCTAGGCTATGCCTAGTGGATTGCTTAAAAAAAACCCATTTCCTCCATTTTTTGAGCAACCTTGAGAGCTTTTGGACGGGAATTGAAGGGGTTTTGACGGAAAGTGATTGGAGGTAAGTCCAACAAACTAAATACATGATTATATTGTGAAATCATCCTTGAAATTCATGAAAATATAGCCAAATTGTAAGAAATTAGGGCTTGACTTTTGAAATAGAAATTTGGGGGTTTGAGGGAGCATTTGAGCTCGGATTTTGGTAAACTTGATATGCATAGACTCGTGGCGGGATAAGGAATCCGTTGATGTCAATTTTATGATTTTTCGAGAAGTGGGTACAGGGCTCGGGTTTTTCCAACTTCGTGATTTTCGATATTTTTCGAGTCTTTTCGATTAGGTTGTATTCCCTTAGCCTATTGTAACGTATTACTTGTGGTTTTGATCAGATTCGATGCTCAAGGAGGTTGATTTGCGAGGCAAAGGGGTAGCGAGCTAGGATTTCGGCCTGCTTGAGGTGAGTAATGGTTATAAATGATGTTCTGAAGGTTTGAAACCCCGGATTTGCACAACGTGGTGCTATGTTGGGATGAGACACACGCTGTATGATGAGCGTGGGGTCTGTTACTATTGGGTATTTGGACTCAGTCCATCCCGTTTGATGACTCTACTGTACTTTTGACTGAGACTTAATTAATATCATTATATTATGGGCTAGTTGCCATGTTTGGGGCCTTGTGGTGATCTGTAGAACCCTTAGGGGGCATTTGTATTGGTTGACCTCACTTTTCTTGTCGAAATCATACCCTAAGTCATGTTCTTAACTGATAAACATAATATGGACCAGCTTTAGAAATTGTTAAATCCTAATGAGAGTAACGTGTGGGTTGAGAATCCCGTCTTATCTTAGTGTGCCCCAGAGGCCAAGTCTGTATTGACTGAGAGGGGTTGAGAACCCCATTGTGACGGTATTTGATGTGCTATGGATCGGGCTACACGCCGCAGCAGTATATATATTTATGCGGATTGGACTGCACGCCGCAGTAGTATATTATATGGATCGGACTGCACGCCACAGTAGTATATTATATGGATCGGACTGCATGCCGCAGTAGTATATTATATGGATCGGACTGCATGCCACAGTAGTATATTATATGGGTCGGACTACACGCCGCAGTAGTATATCGCATGGGTTGAAGGAGCCCCTCCGGAGTCTGCACACCCCTAGTGAGCGCAGTCAACTATTCTTGGATCTGGTTGCACGCCGCAGCAATATATATATATATATAT